AAAGATACTCTGACTGCAGTCCACAAACGTCCGGTGGAAAATAGTGAAAACTGTCATGCTGCCTGTAAAGAATGCTGAAAGTTCCTGTACACTGTGATGTCATTCTTGGCAGAAAGTAGTTTGTTTTGTTCAGACTGAGCCTGTTATCGTTGTACTGTATTTTCTTGTGCAAGTGAATGTTTGATGGTGCAGTAATTATTGGAACAAGAATGAGATTCTTGTACGTGTATTTGGTTGCTGGACACTGTTACACTACCTCTCTAAACATTAACAACTTTGGCTTTATTTTCCACATTCATCAAAATCGTCCACAGATTTGTGCAATTTAATATAAGTTTTAGACTCGGTTTTGAAACCTTTTGAATTGTCAACCCACCGATCAGTCAGCAAATGGAGCTGTGCAGGATTTTATCTTCAAAATTAATTATTGTCATATTTATATTGCGTTTTCGAAAGCTTGAGTGCAATTTCTCGGTGTAGCATGGCGTTACATCCGTGTTTGAATCTCAGTGGGAGGAATCAAAGTTGTGAAGCTGATCAACATGGATTGAACATTATCGCTTGAAGTTTTACTGCAGTTATGAACCTTGCTGAAGACTTCCTTAACATGTGGTCAGAGTAAGAAAAATCTGCCAAAATACACTGTATTTTGTTGCCGATTCAACATTTATGAGCTTTAATAAAGCATGCTTTACAGTTATATCTTTAAAATTTTACTCATTCTGTGATCAATGCAAATATTCATTGAAAGAAAATTTAATAAATTTGAGATTTTTATCTATGAATATATTTATGATATGAGGGAGAACTTTAAGAAGGCACAATTGGAGATTATCAATCTGGACAATAGTGGCACACTCCAATTTCTATTAACCATTAAACATGTACTAATTTAAATAACCCGGGTTAGAATTTGGTTGTACCTTTAGGTGTTAATTGGTGTTGTACGGGTGTGCGTTTACGGGTATTTTTGGCACTGGGTACCCATTTTTTTTAACTGGGTACCCTTAAAATATAAAGAACACTTCACATATGGCATTATGCGCAATCGCGGCTGACCATGTGCCCGAAAATGGGCTCTTTTTTCATACATAGGAAGCAGCACATTGATCTAAAAGTTAAAGGGAAATCTCTCCCCCCCCCACGTTTTTATTAAATGAAGTATTGCCTTTAATTTGTAAGAAGCTCCATCGATCTCTGAACTGGAGTTATGACTGTGGTTTTTCAGTGGCAAGATAAGATTTTTCAGCAATTCTGCCCTTCACTGTTAAAGTTCACGTACATTTCATATGTGGAATTTTGTTTAGGGTACTCAGCCCAAGAAATGGAACCGGGTTTTTATATCGACGGGCGCGTACCCCATGCAGACGTAGTGTTTTGCATGTTGAAGTACATAGATTGCATTCGTACACGTACAAAGTAATTAGGCATTAATGTAGTATGCGCGGGGTTGCGCTGCTGGGTGCTCAGCTTGACATGCACCCAGGGGAGGAGACAAACCATCTTCACCAACCGGCGTGGCTTAGGGTTCACAAGATGCCATTACAAAAACCCACCACCTCCTTCCTTCCCTTCCAAAGCCAACTCTGTTTTCTTTTCAACTCGTCTCTACCTGCCAAAAATCTAAGTCGTTGGAGACATGTCCCTCCGCTGCACGGATACGGTTCTATTTTTAGATTAATTTGCATATGCTGCTGGCTACAATTTGGCAATTGACTTTAACAGTAAGTAGACAAGCGCCCTCTACTAGTCCAATTTGTGAACAATCAAGCAAAATCATAATACATGTTAATCGTTTCCCCGCATTAACTTGGGCTTTTTGCAATTCATTTGGTGCCAAAGCAAAGATTACCAACTGAAATGTTTCCCACATTGTTTTGGAAACACTAGATGTCTTTGATTCTGTAATTCTATGATTGCGAGCATTGTTGTTTCTTCATGGCAAGTGTACAACTTTAAGTTGTGTATCATTGATTGCACAGTAGGCTAACACAAAATTCACCAGAAGAATCAGTGTGTGAGGCAGGAGCGTAGCAGGTGTATCCATCAGCACGCTTGTTTTATTACTGGTTCCAGAATTAGATGGACTGTTCCAGAATTAGATGGGAAGGGTTTCAGATGCTCTCTAATCAGCGAACTCAACAAATGATAACCCGTTCCTTCATTGTCGATGCATAATTCCCTCAAATGGAGAATTGAACTAAAGTATGTTTTTATTAAGGTGGATTTTTTGTGGAATTAAATTCTGCGGAATTAACATTTGGGCCATGTCCAAATGACTTAGTTGTGGCGTAAACTTGTGTAAAAACCAGTGGGAAATGGCTGAAGCCAGAACCATAGACTCGTGTGTATATTGAAGCCGCAGCCAAGTTATCTTTACATGGCCATACTTAACATGAAAATAGTATGGTACATACATGTAAATTTCAGCACTGCTTTAGTCTTTTGTTAATACTGAAATGATCAACTATCAATTTCTGAAATTCAAACCCTTTTTTTCATGATGTATGTGCAAGTAATTTTGCTTTACCTGGGTAACCTATTACTGTGTAAACTTTCCAGCCAGTTCAGTTACATCTTCATTTTGGGTGTTTTCATTGTTGTGTTCAATACGTAGATTTTTAGAAATCAACAGAAATCAGTGCTGCTGTAATGAAGTTGAAAATGTATGATTGGATTAGTTTTCAACTGAAAGTGATTAATTTGTATATGAGATAGATTAAGTTTTGTTGCATTATACTTCAAGAAACCATTAAAGCCAGGAAAACAAAATGGTCATTATCCTGAAGTTACAAAAGGAGTGGACGATTGTTTTCCCTCCCAAGATAACCCCAATTGATACATTTCACATTCAATGAGCCACAACTTATGGGTTCATCCTAACTTCAAGATTCTCTCCCATTCATAGATACATTCCATCGTATTTTAACATAATGTGCATGTTCTGTTCAATTGTACTGCCATCAGACTGGGGGGGGGGAGTTCAAATGATTTACAATTTTTCTTTTCCTCATTTAACCAGTCCTTTCTACATTTGAACTAGCAGATTCCCTTCAAATTTGGGGGATACATTGCTTGCTGCAGCCCAAAATTGTCTTGTACTTTTTGTAGCCCATGATGCTGTACAGTATGTTAACCCAACTGTAGCATTTGGGTTAAAATAAATGTTACTTGGAGATACATTTCTGAGATGTGTTCTGATCAATTGTAGAATTTCTGATGTACTAAAGGGATGGTAAGAGCTAGAAATAAAATGATTTTCAAAGACTAACAGTGTGTCAGGCATTATGCTGTGACTGGACAAAACAAAGCATGATATACACATATTGTGTTTGCAACGCCATGTTAGTTTTAATTAATTTGAAACACTTTGGGTGAGTTTGGGAAGATTTATGCATTTTGGGGGGTCTCTTTAACTTTGTTCAATAAATTTGGTATATATCTTCTTTGATTTAAGGGTGACTTCAGGACCAAACTTTCGGGGGCAGGCAAATTTTCTGGGGGAGGCCAGAAATGTTTGAAAATTACTTTGTGACCTTTCATTGAGGCAGTATTTTGGTGCCTTTTTTACATAGCATACCTTTGGAAGGAAGAGAAACGGAAATTGACAAAAAATCACCCACCACATTTAAAAAAATTCTCCAGGGGACGGCTGGCCCCCAATTGCCCCCCACCCATCTCTTGCTTCTTAGGGTCCTCTGAGGGCAAAAATTTTGTATCACTGGGATAGGCTCGAGTAAACCTTTTGTGTATTTGTTGTAACAAAAACACCCTCTGAGACATCATTGAGACGCCAGCAACGCATAACCTCTACAGACCTATTTCACCCACGTGACTGGATCGCGCTAAACGTGTGGACCGCCTTGGCCACGGTGATCGCATTTATTCCTATGGCAGCTTCAACCACAAACAACCGCATGCGCGAACGCTGCATGCTTGACTAGTTTATCTTGAATAAGTAGATTACCATTACAACACTATCCACTCATTACCATCACGCGGTCTAGCAAGATTATGACATCACAGGAAAAAGGTCTACATGTACATGTACATGTATAAGTTGAACCCACAAGCATACTGCAGAGTCCGGATTAACACGTGGTGTTGTTTACAAACATGACGTTGGGGTCAAAGTTTATGACCCAGGCTGGATCGATTGATTAACCCTGGCAAGTACCGGCTCTGTTCAAATCTTACGGCTGCGGCTATAAGTGACACGAGCAACTCGAGGAGCGCTGGCGCAGCCAGTTGATTTGGACACAGTTTCATGACGTCACCAAGTAGCCGCCATTTTTAACATTTTACAGGACCGTTCCAGCCGAGAAAGATCTGAATTTAGTCGGCAAAGTCTCCGCCTCCATCAGGAAATATCACACCAACTTGAGGTTGAAATATGTTGCACGAGTTACTTCTGTCTTTGAGTGGATTCCCGGGAAGCATATTTGTTAACGGAGAAAACGGAACTATAAAGGTTATAAACTGTCAGCTTTTAAATTCGAAAGAATTGGCCAACCATTCCTCCATGGGCCAACAGTGGTACTGTCACTTGTGTACTGTCAGACCACAGACCTGGAGGAGAATGTTTTTTCTCCTCCAGGTCTATGGCGGAACGTTAAGACTCTGAGTAGGCTTCGTTGTATTCTTTGCTCTCTCGGCATGCAGGCATTGCAAATATCTGAGTATGGGTGTGTTAGGCTGGCGGTGAGCATGGTCAGATGCTGAGGCCCTAGGCCATGACATGTAGGCGTGCTAGGCCTACCCCAGATCTGTCATGACTGTGGACCTCAGTCACAGTTCTTTGGAGAGCTGTAGGGTCTGATGTCCACAGTTCTGGGGGTAGGTGAGGCTCCACACATCATGCACATTGCCACATGCCAACATGCATTGATGGGATAGTGAAGTAAGAGTTCTCAAAGTCAAAGTACCAGTGATGTAAGATTCGGGCCACCTACAAAAAAATCACCAACCCGCCACATTTCATTGGCAAGTTAGCGAATGTATCCTTGCTGTTGAAGTTACCCAGGACAGCACTAATAATCCCCAGTATCTCAATGGCATGTTATTACCGTCATGGTCAGTGGCCGTACTGAATCTCCTATGACTCCATTTTACACATGTAGTACAAAGATCGATTGACAAGACATAATCTTGGCAGCCAAGAGCATGTGCTGTACGTACACATACATGTATGTACGTACATGTATGCTACGGCGTACATTGTACAAATCATTTTAGCAGAATGCACACTTTTTATGAGAGATATTTACATTTTATGCAGTGCTAAAATTACAGGCGTTTATTTTTCTTTCCAGTTGCTGAGGATTATAGCGCCAAAGATTTTTAAATATTGTACTTGTGATTCCCTTCATCGTTTTTGCTTGGCATGCTTGGAGATGCTAGTTCCACTGTCCGTGCTAAAAACAGATGAGACCTGATGCTGTCAAATTCAAGAAAAACACATTTCAAGGTCTGAAACATTTTGCAGGTATTATTCACTGAAATTGTCAAATTCCTGAGATGAAAAGTTTGCTGTCCAGCAGTTACATGTACCAAGGCTACACTATTGACAGCTTGGGACACATGTCTGAATGCATGAATAGATATCACAGTTACATGTACATGTGTATTACAGGCACTCGGGATCATATGAAATTTACATACAGGCGTTTGTTGTTGACATGTACATGTTGGCTCTGTCACTGTCTATGGAAAGTGAATTATACATGTATACCCAGACTATATGGATATATACATGTACCGGTATGTCAGGTTACATTAGGCTGTTTAAAGCCTGTGTTCAAGCTTTTTCCTTCCTCCATGGCCGTGATGACGTACATGTACATAAGTTATGGCAGGATTCTTTGACGCAGGTTCTGGTACATTGTAACAGTCAGATAATAAACTCCATTTTGTCAGCCAAAGATCCCTGTTCCTTAGATAGTAGATAACAACATTCAGCCAGCCATTTGACAAGAGAAGAGTTTGTGTGAAAGAGGCGGCCAAGTAAGAGACATAATAAAAATCTAATAATGATAGTAATAAAAATATAATTACTATTTGAATCCAGCTGATCATCAAAGCTCCAGTTATAATGATGATGGTGGTGGTTGATCTAGTGTTTATTCTCTGCCCACCTTGGCCGTTGCCTGCACGATTTTCAGCAGCAATGCGCCTGGCTTGATTGCGAGATATTAGCGTGATATGCGTATACAGAATAAATATTGTCAATAGTGGAATTGTGATTGTAACAGTGCATAAATAAACTGTTCTCATTGTTTAGTTTGGAGCAGTAGACTTTTCCTGGACCAGCTTGGACAGGAAAAACAGGATCATAAAGCCCAAAGAGGAGAGTGCTCGATATGCCAATCAAAGCCCATGTTGCGGCTACCATTATTTTTTATCTGAATGGAGTCATTAATGATGGATATCTCACAGGACGGGATATAGCAATGTAACGATCTATACTCAGAAGTACTAGTGAGTAAATACTCACTGCCGTAAATATGTGTTGGAGCACACTATTTGCCACACAAAAAAAGTCGCCCATCAACCATGTCCCAGCAAACACCTCTGTTGTGTGAAAGATCCACCATACGCTGCTGCAAAGATCGGCCAGGGCGAGAGAAGCCATGAACGGTTTGGTTAAAGGCTGGATGCTGGTGGTGCGCCGTAAGGTGACAAGCATCAGGGGATTCAGGACGAAGTTTGCAGAGATGGTCAGTACCAGAAAAATTCCAGCAACAGTTTCAAATGGTGTTGATTCAGTTGCAAACTGGGCCTCTGGTGCTGTAGAATTTGAAGTGGTTTTAATTTCTGCACGTTTTGTAGTAGTTTCCATGGTTACTGGCAGACTGTAAACAAACGGTTTCGGTTTGACCTTGTTTCAGTTATGATCAAGCAGTTCCCTGTCAAGGAGTGTTTGGTTTTAAAATGTGGTTAGTTTCACTCTCAAAAGAAAGTTTAAGAAGATAAAGCCTGCATTAATGACTGCATTCAGCATCCTTGTTCAATAAAAAACTCAGAAACCATGAAAAGTTCCGTCTTATGATGACATTCAGTCTCTGGCTTGTCCAACTGCATGTAGTTTGTTACACAGGATTATTTTATTCTTTGGATCATCAGCTTCAAGTGTATCAGAGCAGAGGTTGGTGCAGTCTCCAGACCAGATACTTTGGGCTGCAGGGCTAGTCAGTGCTAGTAGACATTGTACTCGGACTGGTCTGTTGACATGGTTGAGACCTTTCATGCAACCACATTTCATTTGTATGCTGTCAAATGTGATTGGCCCTAATTGGATTGGTTTGAAGCTTGCCCAGCTCCACTGATCGCTGTCCAAGATACTGAGAGACGCCTAGCGTGGCTTTGTGGGTTTAAATTTGTCATGAACACTTGTTGCTGCTGTACATAGGTGCCAGTTATTATTACTGAGCATTAGTACCGTACCATCAAAGGCCAAGTCTAGATTACAAGCAGTAATATATTGAGAAGCTGCAGTGAGGGAAAGAGTGGTTTAATGCAGAGTCCGTTCTTCATGTAAACTTGCGCCTATCAGTAATGTTTTAACTTTTATTAGATGTTGACTGAGATTAATAACTCAACAAAGTGGGATGAACACATACATGTCCATGTATGTGTGGGTATGCAGCATCATTAGCATTCAACCCACCAGTCATGCCAGTTGCAAGAAAGGAATCCCATCACCCCAAAAAGTCGCCGATTAATTTTTCCACAATATCTGCCTTAAGATTAATCAACATCAACTGTTAAGAAGGAAGTGCAACTTTTATGATTCAAAGTTCGGCTTTCATCAAGAATGACAGTTTTACCAGGACGTTGTCGCTGAGAGGTTCTCAGTTCTGAAATGTACCTGTACCTGAGTCCTGTCTCTGTTGGTTTCATGCACTCCCCCAAGAATGAATTGACTAGATTTACTAGTAGGCCTATACTGGATTACACTACATTTAGACATACATGTACATGTAGCTTCTTATGGCACCACCATACCATGTACATGTAATGCAAACATATTAAATATCAATGTAC